TCCTATACGAAAACAACAATTAGCAACATCCTCACATACTACTGTAAGTTGATTCAATTTAAATTCATTTTACACTTTTGCTGCTACTGTTATCATTGTAATTGCAGCTCCTGATGATGGTGGCAAAGTCCATTGAAAGCTAGAGAGAATTAAAAAAGTATAAAGAGTCCTCTTTGCTTAAAATTTTGTCGAAGTACCCAACAAAAGGCGGAAGCTTTAATTTTTCACCTATATATATATATATATACACACTTTAGATTTTTAAATGGAAACCCCTATTATTTTGTAATCCTCCGATTTTCCATGAAGTTTTTAGTAACTTTTGTATAATAAACTGTATACCTAGCTTCAATCATTGTGAAGCTATTTGAGTTTATAATAAAATAATTACTACTATAATCATGAAAAGCATAAAGCATAATAAACAAAAAAAGAAATATACCCTAAACTCTAGATAGGACACCAGATACGTGCATGGCTTTTGTATGTACAGAGGTATATACAGGGTGGCGCATCGAAAACGAAACAGACGCATTTACTGGCAGCTCAGTTTTTTTTTTTGAAAAACGCTCAGACCCGTCGATTTTGTTTTTGAGAGGGACACAAGTTTGGCAATAAATCACGTTAACACGTGCAGCCCCCTGGGCGGGGGTGACAGCAACCCTAAAATCTTAAATGGAAAGGGGGGTCGAGTGATACCTTATTTTAAAGGTCTTTCAATTCCCTTGTCAACAACGAGATATGATAAATATCTGATGTTTAGCTTTACTACTAATCGCAGGAATTCCCAAAACTATTTGAATTCTGCCATTGATCAACATATTCCTTCTGGTGTTCAATCAGTGATTCTACATATCTCTGCCGTGTTGTGATATACCAGGACCTCCAAAAAATATTGATTCGATAAGGGTGATTTATACTTTTATTCACTTCTGAACTTATCAGCTGATATGGAGCTACAAACAATAAACTTTCCCCATATAACATTTCTCTAATAATGTAACCTAAAAAACAAGTCCGTAATCGCTTGTATATGGCCAATTAATCATCATGAATAATATTAATGAAAACACTCTTATCTGTGCGAACAGTTGTACAGTATCGCATGTAAATAGAGATATAAACACTGATCCACATATTTGACAACACATAATGTATAGAGTAAAAGCTACTGAAGGTCACATGTACGGTCGTTCATAGTATGAAGCGGCTGTGAATAGACGCTTTCCCTATGACGGCTCCAACTTATCAGTTCGGTATTTAGTGTAATGCATGAGGTACAATACATCAACAAGACTATGAATGATGCATATTGAGATATGCTCACTATGTAATTCTATCGTCATTCGGCCTGAATTGTCAATAAAAAATATTTTTCGAAACGACGAAGTTACAACTTTTTTCGGGAGTGTATACAATGTATACTAAGTGACATATAAATCCGAACACCCAGTTTAAATGGTTTTATTTTAATAAAATTTTGTATAAGTATTTAATGAACCATAATAAGTAAATGATAAAAATTTCAAAATGATCGCACTGCTTTAAAGCCCTTTGTCCTTTAATAATGTATGGATGCACCCTGATGTGCTACGCATTCTCGAATGCGCCTAGGCATGCCTCTGATCAGGTGGTCAATGTCCTCCTGTGGTATCTCTTTCCAGGCAACCACCAACTCCTCTCGAAGTGCTTCTAGAGTCTGAGGAGGACGTTGCAAATTGAGCAATCTCCTACCCATCATATCTCACACGTGCTCAATTGGGGATAAGTCGGGAGATCTTGGTGGCCATGGTAAAAATGTGACATCATTATGTTGAAAGAAGTCTATTGTGACTCTTGCAACATGTGGTCGGGCATTATCTTGTTGGAAAGTTGGATCTACCAGGGTGTCAAGATAGGGTAAAAGATGGGGTTCTAGAACTTCGTGGATATAACGCTGCGCATTCATGTTACCTCTGATGAAGATTAAAGGTGACCTGGAACCATAAGCTATAGCACCCCAAACCATAACTCCAACAGTGTGATGAACATGTCTTTCAACAAAAAACTGTGGATTCCTCCTTTCACCACGTCGCCTTCTAACCCTTACACCGACGTAATCGCCTTGAGTGGTGCAGACAACGGTCACTCTGGGATCAGGAATGGAACAGTATTGTCTTTAGTGACGAGTCTCGATTTTGTTTAGGCATGCACGATGGTCGTGCCAGGGTTAGAAGGCGACGTGGTGAAAGGAGGAATGCACAGTTTTTTGTTGAAAGACATGTTCATCACACTGTTGGAGTTATGGTTTGGGGTGCTATAGCTTATGGTTCCAGGTCACCTTTAATCTTCATCAGAGGTAACATGAACGCGCAGCGTTATATCCACGAAGTTCTAGAACCCCATCTTTTACCCTATCTTGACACCCTGGCAGATCCAATTTTCCAACAAGATAATGCCCGACCACATGTTGCAAGAGTCACAATAGACTTCTTTCAATATAATGATGTCACATTTTTACCATGGCCACCAAGATCTCCCGACTTGTCCCCAATTGAGGACGTGTGGGATATCATGGGTAGAAGATTGCTCAATTTGCAACGTCCTCCTCAGACTCTAGAAGCACTTCGAGAGGAGTTGGTGGTTGCCTGGAATGAGATACCACAGGAGGACATTGACCACCTGATCAGAAGCATGCCTAGGCGCGTTGGAGAATGCGTAGCACATCAGGGTGCATCCACACTCTATTAAAGGTCCAAGGGCTTTAAAGCAGTGCAATCATTTTGAAATTTTTATCATTTACTTATTATGCTTCATTAAGTACTTATACAAAATTTTATTGAAATAAAAACATTTAAACTGGGTGTTCGGATTTATATGTCACTTAGTATACAATAAACACCATGACAATGTCTGTCATGTATTCGAGGTCCACGACTTTTGATCGGTATTAGCCTGACATGTGTAGCAATAGTTGTAAAATCTTTTAAACACACTTTTTTCATTTGGTAACGAATTTATTAGAATTTTCACTTCGAATAACAACTTAGTTATTAACGACTACCGTGTTGAAATGAAAACAAAGTGTTGCTGGCGCCTCTATCGGTAATATATGTGAATATTCTACGATTAGGTCAAACGTGCTTGGCCATTTCATGAAGTAGCCGTGCGTTTAGTTGATCATATCGTTAAACGATCACGATCCACGCACATCATGATCTGGCCAATAGATAATGATAGCATGTCAAAATGGTCAATTTGAAAATATAGCCACGCAGGAAAGTAAACGCATATTAAAACAAGAAAGATTGATATTCAAATCAAGTTGGGTACTTTATTCTGAAGGTTCATTTATACCATTTATGTATGAAAAATAATATCGCTCAAATGTTCACCACGACTGGATTTACAGACCTCCACGCGATGGTCGAAATTTTCAATGACATTTTGCAACATGGTCGGTTCTATGGCATTTATCTCGGCAATGATGTTGTTTTTGAGTTCTTGGAGGGTGGCTGGTTTGTTGACGTAGACTTTGCTTTTCAAATATCCCCATAAAAAGAAGTCCAAGGGAGTCAAATCGCACGATCTTGGTGGCCATGGCACATTTCCTCTGCGCGAAATTACGCGATCACCGAAGAAGGACTGCAATCGATGGATGTTGACGTTGGTTGTGTGGCATGTTGCACCGTCTTGTTGGAAATAAACATCGTCCATATCCATTCCTTCAAGTTGCGGCAAAAAATAGTCCTCTATCATCACGTGATATCGCTCAGAATTGACGGTAACGGCCTCCCCGCTAAAGTAAGCTCCGATGATGCCTTTTGAGAACAATGCACACCACAGTCACTTTTTGAGGACGCATCGGCTGCTCTTGATACTCACGGGGATTTTCGTTGGCCCAGATGCGGCAGTTTTGCTTGTTTACCGTCCCATTCAAAGTGAAATGCGCTTCGTCGCTGAACATGATTTTTGATGAAAAATTGGCATCAATTTGGCGGTGTTCAAGGTGCCAATCTGAGAACGTTCGGCGCGAAAAATGGTCGACCCGACGCAGCTCTTGCGTCAATTGGATCTTGTAGGCGTGTACATTCAAATCCTTGTGGAGAATGCGGAGCAAACTGGTTCTCGAAATGCCCAATTCTTGGGATCGACGCGTTGTTGACTGTTTCGGATCGTCTCTCACACTCTCCTTCACAACAGCAATATTTTCCTGTGTGCGAACGCTCCTTGGCCGGCCAGAGCCTGGCAGATTTGCCACACAACCTGATGCCTCGAATTTAGGCACCAGACGACCGATGGTTGTTTCGTTTGGGCGGTTGTTGCGACCGAAATGTTCACGAAGCGCGCGAAACGTGTTTTTTATTTTTGCACCATTATTGTAGTGCTCTTGAATAACTTTAGTGCGGTCTTCAATCGAATACGACTCCGTAGCGATCAATGGTAAACATGCAACTAACAAAATGACATGTCGGTGACAGAAAACAATGATGGCGTCTATGTCAAATTGACGTTTACTTTCCTGCGTCCCTATTGGACAATACAACGTATACAATATAGTGTGTACAACGTATACAATATATACAACGTACACTGTATACAATGTACATAATGTGTACAATGTATTCAACATATGCAATGTAAACAACGTATACAATGGATAGAACTGATACAATGTATACATTGCATTACGTTTATTTTCCAGAATATAATGTGCTGTAAATTAACTGATTAACATATAAAAGAAAAAAGATTGGTCCAAAAATTGAACCTACCGCATCATTTAGACTAAAAACGATCTGGCCCACTTAAGCGAATGACCAACAAAGCCATGTTTCCTAACAATTTTCAAGGATTTATTGTTATCAACGCAGTAGAATGTTCTACTGCTACGAGTAATTACGTGTTCAGTCGCTTTCAGATGTTGCTAATACAGCCTTTTTGGTCTAGTAAGGAAATTTTCATCTCTCTACACATGACTAGATAATTAATTGTACTGTTTCTATTTAAAATTTTTCTAGAGGATCGACCAACTCTCACGTAGTTATAATGGATACCAAAGGGAATATCATTGGTGCCGCCAGAGGTCCAGGAAGCAATCACTTTCAGCTGGGTATAGCGGCGTGTTGCACGAGAATAGTTGAACTGACAGATTTGGCGAAGAAAGATGCTGGATTGGGAACAGATACATGTTTAAAAGCATTGGTGAGGAACATAATCTGAAACTCCCGAAAACCTCCGACTCTAAACGCCTAAACAGGTTTTGAAGAAGCAGTAGTAGTAGGGTAGTTGTAGTACCAGTAGTAGATATAATAACAATATAGATTGGGTGAATAAATTTGTTTTAACCCATTGTATGTACATATATGCATATAGTTAATTGTCTTAACTGTTAGGAGAAGAAAATATACTTGAATTTCTTTGGGAAGAAGACAAAGTATTACATGAGCACACTCTTATAACTTGAGCTTTCGATGGTCTATGCCATCATCGTCTGGAGCTAAAAAACAATTTTTGAATAAAAGCAACAATAAACAATTTGGAGGAAATTGTTCTTGAACGACGGTGAAAGGGAACACATAGTAGACGAACAAAAAACTGGAACGACGAGGTTCGATTAGGACGAAATTATTTTATTAATAAATGGCAAATCATAGCTCTGATTTTTTAATTTTGAAAATTCTTTTAAACACTGATTGATTTGGAAGAACTTGAAAAAATATCAACTATTGAAAAATCCTTCGAGATTTCGTTTTTTTTCTTTTTTTTCCTTGATAATGTGGAGGTTATCAAAAAATGAAATCTCGAAGGATTTTTCAATAGTTGATATTTGTTCAAGTTCTTCCAAATCAATCAGTGTTTAAAAGAATTTTCAAAATTAAAAAAACAGCTATGATTGGTCATTTATTAATAAAATAATTTCGGCCTAATCGAACCTCGTCGTTCCAGTTTTTTTGTTCGTCGACTGTGTTCTCTTTCACTGTCGTTTAAGAATAATTTCAGCAACAATCACGCCGACTTAGTATGTAATTATATTTTTTCCTCCTAATTGTTTATTGTTGCTATTATTCAAAAATTGTTTTTTAGCTCGAGACGATGATGGCATAGACCATCGAAAGCTCAAGTTCAAGTTATAAGAGTCTGCTTATGCAATACCTTGCCTTCTACCCAAAGAAATTCAAGGATATATATATATATATATATATATATATATATATATATATATATATATATATTATACTAACGCTAAAAGCTTTCCCTGCAAGACCCCGAAAAGTATTTTAAGACTAATTTATTTTGAAGCAATTTTCTGCGTTGTTTGTTAAGCCAAAATTTTCGAACTTTTATTTTTCTCTCGTACATAATAAATCAAAAGTAAAACAAAAACGTTTCCATCGAGGAATCCCTAACGAATACCTCAATTTCCAGGGCCTCGGTCTGAGCGGCTGTGAAACGGAAGAGTCCAAAAAACAAATCCACGATCAATTGAAGAACGACTATCCTAGGCTAGCTGACAATATTGTCATTGGCAGCGATGCAGATGGTTCGGTAGCAACTACTTCGAATGAAGGTGCAGCAGTCTGCATAAGTGGAACTGGATCCAATACTCTAGTTATCAATCCGGACGGCAGTCGAGCACAATGCGGTGGTTGGGGCCACATGCTGGGGGATGAAGGAAGTGGTACGTTTTTTCAGAATATGACTCTGTCTACCTGGCGATGACAGATCCAACTTACCCCCATTGCACACATTTTTTAAAATAAAAAATTGTTTTCTTCTCATAAAAGCTGAACCGATCAAAATCAGAAAAATGAAAATTTCAAAATGCCGTACCCGGAGACAGAATAGTTTTTTTTTATTTTTTATTCTTGAGACAAACAAAGAGAGCATCTATATACAGAGTTATGACAAAACTATATTAAAACAAAATAATAAACAACATTTACACACTGATAAACTCACAGACACGATACAAACATTTATGTATTAAAAAGCCTTTCAAACAATGCTTAAAGTGATTTTGATTTGCTATTCCTTGTATATCCTTTGGAAGGATGTTAAAGATTTTAGGACCAAGTATATTTGGCGATTTATTTCCTACTTTAAATTTAGAAAAATTGGAGTGTATATTATCACTCCGCCTTGTGGCAACTGTATGTATTTCTTTGTTGAGAGTAAACTTGGTCTTATTCCGGAATACATATAACGCCAAATCGTGAATCGCCAGGGCAGGTACTGTTAAGATTTTATATTTTTTAAAAATGTCTTTACAACTGTGTGTGTTACTGATCCGCGCCATTGATCTAACAATTCGCTTTTGAGCTTTTGTGCAGTAGCAGAGCAGCCCCGAAGACAAATACCGTATCTGAGTCTGGATTCCATAAGGCCGTAGTTCAATTGGGCATTATTATGTTTAACGTCCAGGATATCTATCTATTTTTGTGGGTGAGGTTATGGAACCTAATTAAATTGGTCTTGTCAGTATTCAAAAACAACTGATGTTTGGAAGACCAATCACTGACCTTTGCAATTACTTCGTTGCATCATCTGCATATAGTGTGAACAGCGCATCCCCACACACTGACTCAATCGCATTGATATATAGAATGAACAAAATAGGCCCTAAAATGGAACCTTGAGGAACCCCAATATCGACAGTGACTTCACTAGATTGGACTCGATGTAACATCTGTTCACCTTTATGAATTAGAGAAACATAATGTTTCCTATCAGCAAGGTATGAGTCGAGCCACCTATAAGGAGCACCGTTCACACCAGATGCATATAGCTTTTGCAACAGAATGTTATGGTTGACACAGTCAAAAGCCATACTTAAGTCGTAAAATACCCCAACCGGCCTCAATGAATGAAATCAATCGTTCATAGAACGTTGTTGTTGACTTTCCAGTAGAGAATCCTTGTTGGTTCAGCGAGATGATATTTTTCTTCTTAAAGAACGTCAGTAAGCGACTGGCGTAGTAATACTCAAACATTTTTGTTAGAACTTTGACTTGATGTCTCTGGTTTTTAGAAAAAATTCGCTATGCCACATAACCTCAAATAAAGGCAAAAATCGTTACTTTGCACTTCTAGCTTAGGACATCTCGGAAACTAGAGCCAATTTCCAAAAGTTTGATTAATTTGAAACTTCGTACAAGTATCAAGGACTGAAGACTATGCAATTATTTGATAACAGAACTAGGGCCGCTAGGATTGATAAATTCTTTTATAGATCCTCTGCGTGCAGTTTCAGGTTTACTCTTTGTTGGTTTGGGCACTCGGCACACCACAACAGAGGCAGATGCTTTTCCAAGGTAGCGCATTCTCACCTTGTGCATTGCGAATGTTGCGGTTAATCCTGAGTTGGGCCACAAGATGCAGTCGATCATTTATCTAGGTTCGCGACTGTTTGCTGCTGTACAAGCTTATGTAGCACTTAGTCCTGTAAGATCTTAAGACGGTATTCGGATTGAAGAACTTGAATCTAACAGGAAAAACCCCATGTAACAGTGAAGCTTTAAATGAAGTGATTAGATGAGGAAATGATTCGTAAGGCATACCACATGTTCACAGAAAACTAATTGATAAATCGAACTATAAAATGAAAAATAAATAATAGTCTAAAGAAAAACTAAAATTATGTATAAAAAAATTTAGGTTATTAACAGAATAATTCAGTTCATTTTTCTACATTTTCATAACTCTCTTCTCATAGATAGTCGCCAATAGAATGATTGTAACATCAAGCACTCCATGCTTTTTATTCTGAATTGAATTCTTTGTCAATAACTTACATTTTATTTTGAGGTCATTAATTGCGATTGATTGTTCGACCATCTGCTACTGTCAAACTCTTTCTAAATGGAAATTATTTTCTACTTTTTATTTTGGTTAGTTATAAAAGCGTGTTTTTTTTAACTATTATTTGTTTAATTCGTCGGTTCATGCATAAACTACTTCTAACTACATTTATCCTTTTATTTATGTAGCCTACAATATCGCTTATCTTGCGATAAAGTATTGCTTCGATGACAAAGATGACTTCGAAAAAGCACCGTTCCCAATAGACAGAGTGTGGGATCTAATTCAGCAGCACTTCGAAATAGAAACCCAACCCGATCTTCTCTCCCATTTCTACAGCACCTTCGATAAGGCAGCCATCGCTTCCCTCTGCAAAAAACTGGCAGTTCTAGCCAAAACTGGAGACAGACTTGCACAGGCAATTTTCCATCAAGCAGGTAAAAAGCAGGGTAACATTTTTCATTGTTATTGGGTTATAACAGATGGAATCAATGTAGAACACAAAAAATGTTGCTCGTTCAAAGTTTTTTAGGGGTACCTATACGAGTCTTTAATTATATATAACCTCGGTACGACACTGCATGGTTCACAAAAATGACTACAAATACAGGGTGTCCGCAAAGTTGGGGTTGTCCTTTTCAGAAACAACTACCCTTGAAATAACAAAGGTAATGTGTAGTGAAACGAGGGCGACCAAGTAAAAAAAAATAAAGGAAAAAGTACTCACTCTCCAGTTGACGAGAAGCGCTAAGTACGTCTCTGCCCGAAATCATACCGCTCCAACAGAAAATGAAATCAGCTGATGCGCTACCGAGCAGACGCAGGCGGTGGTGCAGACCACGAACAGAGGTAACAAATATGACGGCGTTGCCGCGTTTTCAGTTTTTAGGTAAACGTACTTTATAGGTATTGTTCGAAGTTAAACACAGGTGCGTGCACGACGTAGCCAAGCATCGGTGCAGGCTTTGAGAATGGAGTCCCTCCCCCGAATGAAAGCACCAGCTTGTTCAATTCTGAGACGAAGTTCGTCAACCGTATGCACTTCAGTTTTGTACACTAAGCGTTTCATTTCTCCCCAAAGAAAAAAATCACATGGTGTTAAGTCTGGAGATCGCGGAGGCCACGCTACGGTTCCATTACGTCCGATCTACCTATTCGGAAATAATTCATTCAAAAACTCACGCACTTCGCGTCTAAAATGGGGCGGTGCACCATCGAGCAGAAACCACATTTATTGTCTTACACTTAATGGCACATATTCTAACAAGGAAGGCAAAATGTTGCGTAAAAAGTCTAGGTATTGCATCCCGTCCAATCGATTTGGGAGAATAAATGGTCCAATGAGCATACCGTTCACCATGCCAGCCCAAACATTCACCAAAAATGTTTGTTGAAAATGTGCCCGACGGACAGCGTGCGGATTTTCTACTGACCAAACATGAGTGTTGCGAAAATTATTCACCCCATTACGCGTGAACGTAGATTCGTCTGTCACCAATATGCACTTCAAAAAGTCCGGATTATTGTCATGTTGATGCAACAACCACTCACAAAACCGCACTCTTGCTGGAAAATCGTCGGGTTGAAGGCTTGTACACGTTGGACGTGAAACGGATACAGCCCCTCTTCACGCAGCGTTTGCCACACTTTAGTTTTTGATACTTACACTTCTCTAGCCACGTCTCTAGTGCTTGTTGAGGGATTCTCGTCTACGCGATTACCTCTACACGCGTGACCTGACACGCTGACCCCGACCCAGTTCTGTCGTCGGGTTGAGACAGTGACCTTGTACCACTCGGTGATGTCGCGGGTCGCGGCTACAGGACGGTATTCAGATATTTTTGATGTTGCAGAGCCCTTTATCTCGGTTCCCTTAAGACATTGGTGTACGTTATATGGTACTAAGAAAAATTGCTTATGTTTTCAAGATCTACACGTCGTGTAAAGGAAAACCCCTACTTTGCGGACACCCTGTATAATGACTACTTGTGGACCAAAGAATTATATATAATTATATATTTATAAATAATAAATTTATATATTTATTTTGAGGGCCTGAATTCCAAGGGTTTCTTTCCTTCTCAACCAGGTACAAGCCTCGCCAAAGGTATAGCAGCGGTTTACAAAAAGGCAGCACCTGAATTGACAGAAAGACAGGGCGGTCTGCACGTCCTATGCGTTGGATCTGTGTGGAACAGCTGGGACCTTCTCTTGCCAGGATTCGTCTCTTACGTTAAAGAAAAGTCATCAATCTCGAAGCTATCTTTGATGAGGTTGACAGTCGATCCTGGGGTTGGTGCTGCATACATGGCTGCTGATAAACTTGGACTGCATATAGAAAGAGACTACTCCAAAAACTATGATGTATTTTATAGTTATTGCAGAGTATGACAAAGCTAACGGTGGTCATGTATTTTTATGTAAAACACTTGGAACTTATCTTGTGGTTTTTATGTAGATGATCCGCCAATGTTTGTCTGGTTAATGGACCACCTATAAATTCTTCTTTAATGTAGTAGACGTTTTCATTACATATGTTGCTTCAGTGGTCGGACAAACATGAGGTCTTATATACTTTTATACATATATGTGTTTTACAATTTTTATTTTATATATAACTTAACTACGTTTACAGAACTATTTTTATACAACGCTTATAAACCCAAAAAGGGCGCAATGTTGTTCTTAAATTTGTTTTATTATGGCTCCCACAGCTTTTAGCGGATTAAACATTTTTATAAAACATACTATGCAACAACTATAACTACAACAACTATTTTTTCTTATTCTACTTTGTATCGTAATAAAGTGATTCAAGTGAACGATCTTATATCATGAAATAAACATTAAAGTAATTAGTTAAGACATCGCAAAAACGTGATGATAAAAATAGCCGTCGTAAAGTGCAGTGAAACAACACAAAATATGGCTTTCATGTTATTTAGTTTTGCTTTATCAGATATTTATAGAATATTTAATTTGTGTGTATATCTCAGTTAAACAGAGATGTATTGCAGGAAAAAAGGGTTAGTATAAAAGAGTCCACGGGTGTATACAGGGTGCTAGAAAATCAATGCATTAGCATTGCTATCTTGTTAACCGCTTTCCTGTAGGTGAAATAAATTCGTTTTTCCATCCTTGACCATCCCAATACTATATGTTATAAATTGTCCTTTGGTGAATAAAAGTTATCAGTATTACTTTTTGTGCTGTTTTATTTTATAATTGCTTTATTACAACTCTTAGAACTCAATTTTGTTCTCATAATATTACCAATAAGGCAAGGTTTCAAGAAACATTTGAAAAAATACAGAATAGCTTAACATTATATATATATATATATATATATATATATCCTTGAATTTCTTTGGGTAGAAGGCAAGGTATTGCAAAAGTACACTTTTATAACTTAAACTCAAGCTTTCGAAGATCTACGTCTTCATCGTCTGGAGTAAGTCGGCGAGATTGTTGCTGAAATTGTTTTTAAACAACAGCGACGAATAAAAAATTGGACTGATGAGGTTCGATTAGGACGGAATTATTTTATTACTAAAAGGTAAATCATAGCTATATTTTTTTAGGAAAAAACCATTTCATATTTTCTCCTAACAGCTAAGGCAATTCACTATGAATAATATATATATATATATATATATATATATATATATATATATATATAGGTGAAAAATTAAAGCTTCCGCCTTTTGTTGGGTACTTCGACAAAATTTAAGCAAAGAGGACTCTTTATACTTTTTTTTAATTCTCTCTAGCTTTTAATGGACTTTGCCATCATCATCAGGAGAGTAGTATGTGAGGATGTTGCTAATTGTTGTTTACGTATAGGCCGAGGGAAACGTCCAGTAACATGGTGAGAGCTGGATAGATGGTACAATGGTCAAAATTATATAAAATATGACAAGACAAGTTAAAAACAAACTTGTCTTGTACCCAACAAAAGGCGGAAGCTTTAATTTTTCACCTAACTGGTCTAGACGACAATGACCACGTCTCAAGTTATATACTCGTATATATATATATCTTAGACTTTGTGAATTTGAAAAGTTTTTAAGGAATTTTATTCAATCAATAATGTTTGTCCCAATCCGTCTACATTTTATCACTAAAACATAACATAATTATGTTCATTACCGTTTTCAAAAAATGATCTGGTTTGACAAATTCCGGTGAATATCAGTAAACATTCGACGTCCAGGTACTATGCGATTGGGAAATCTTCTTCGATATTCTCTTACGGCTGCCGACGAACTGCTATTGCAAAACCCGTACACAAAATGCATGTCAGTCAGTTATCTGTCTGTAAATCTTGGCATTTTAAGTCGATTTGATAAAAATTTTAATTTTAATCTAGTAATTTTACACTGTTAACAATGTCAGCTTAACGTCAAAATAAGTCATAACAAATCAAAACAACTTTTACTTGCAGTCATGGCTAACTATGTATAATCAACAATTCATTTAAATTCGCAGTACATTTCCTATCATGTGACAAATTTTTTAGTTTGATTTTATTCAAAAAATGGCACAAATTATCGATATTCAAGAAGAGTAACTTTTTTATGTAGAAAACCCTAAATTTTCAAATTCTCAAATTGAATTTCAAAAATAGAATCACACAAAAATTTTGGGGCTAAAATAATCTGAGTCCGTCCCTGTTACATTCGCTTCTAAACAAAACTGTCTAAAATTGTCAATATTTTTAAATCCAGCATAAAAAACTAGGCTACAATGCCAAATTTTGTCTTTTTCTCAACACGTTTCGGAAATATTAAGGAAAAACCATCTTCTGGGGAGCCCCTTTAAAAGACCGTAGCGCCCTTAGGGGACGTTTGTCGACCTATGTTTATATAAACTTTTCTTCCTATTTTAAGCTCTAGAAACCGCTGGTAGAATATTGCACACTTTTTTCGGGACACCCTGTATACCGGACAAAGTGAGGACCGAGCCGAGCTCCTAACATAACGAGGTCCGTATATTGAAACACTTACAACAAACAAAGTGAGGACCTTTCAGGATATATTCTCACTTAACGCATACAGAGTGGGGACCGACCGTACAGGGTTGCTCATGTCAACTGGTTTTTCTCAAAGTTCACTTTGTTTGGTACGTAACTGTGATGCAAGCAATAGAGAGAGAGAGAAAGAAGTAGAGACAGAGAGAGAGATATATAGTTGTTTCAGTAGCTTTCATAATTACCAGATAAAATACATTTTTTGAACGTTTGAGAAATGCGATTCATGTAGGAGAGAGTGAAACACCTTAACATGCAATAACAAAATGACGTCAAGTAGGTTGACTCTTTCGGGAATCACGATATACAGCGGATTAGGATACATTTCGTTCGCATCTGTAAAATGTGGTTGACTTGTGGAACATCCCACAATGCAATATTGAAATGACGTCAAGTAGATTAACTCATTCTGGAAGTAACGTGATTGGGCGATCTAGGATACATTTTTTCGTCAGCGTCAGGAGCGTGAAACACCCCACCATGCAGCAATAAAATGATGTCAAGTCATTCAAGGTATACCATAATTAGGGATTAGTATATATTCCTTCGGCGTTTACGAAATGTGGTCCAAGCAAAACAGTAAAATACCTTATCAGGCAACTTAAAGATAATGTGAAGTAGGTTGACTCATTCAAAGAATTATTTCCTGGTGGAATGTTCTGGAGTTTTTATCAAAATGAAATAAACAATTCTGGGTGTTGCATTTTATATGCCACTTAGTATATTTTGAAGGTGGTAATATAAAATTGTAATTATACCTCGTACGTGAATCAATGGCATAATCGACTGTAGCCTCACCAGGATTATGACCTAGAGAATACATTAGGGTGCAATAAAGGACTAGCTCATCAAATATACATATATTTCCCCTGGAAGAAACCATTTTCAAAAATATGACAATATAATACATATACGTTAGTGCATTTGTTTGTACATTGTAGAGTCGTCAAATCTTTGAAAACCATTGACATCATACAATAAAATTATTGTCGATGTAGGCAACAATATTCTAAAAAGACCATATAAAACGTAATAGAATAAATAAATACAAAAATATGTCAAAAGTAGAAAGGAATATCTAATACTGTACAAGTTAGAGTATTGTCAAGTTTATACAAGGGATGAATTGATTTTGAGAAATCAAGACGCAATACTTTACTTTCAATCGGAACGCAGATTATGATAAATTTTGATCAAGTAGTTGAACACTGATTTACAATATATATGAGGTTATATTATGAGAAGCAGCAGCATTTTTATGTTAGTTATAGTAGAGAAAATTTAGTGTCTATATTGGCCCCCGTTCTCGTCTCGATAACGGACTACATATAAAAAAAAACAGTTGAGACATAAACCAAGTCGACATACTTGATTATCAAAATCTGATGCTGTCTAGTGCACAGACCCGTTGAACTATTATTAAAGTATACTTCTTTTTCAAATGCAATGTTGCGCTACCCTTCAAACATCAAACTGATACACCATTTTGATATGTCGGAATATTTATATCAAACAGTACCTATATTATAACCATATTAAATCGTCAGCTATACAGGGTGTTTTCAAAGTTCAGTCATGTATTTTATTTTCGAAGCTCGTAAAGAGTCGTGGATTCCCGAGCAAGATTTTGCGTTAATGGAACAAATAAGGACAATTTTGAGCAGTTTTTGTAAAAACGGTATCCATTTAACTTGATATTTGTTCCTTTTAAATAATTTTTAATAATGCAAACTAACTCTCTCATTGTGCAACTTTGATATAGGTGATATTTGGAATATAAACTTCTTTTGACGAGTCCTACAAGCCGTGAAAATAAATGACTCTACTTTGAAGACACGGTATCGATCAATAACCTACGCAATTGCCTACTTGAGATTATCATTTTCATCTAAATGAAAAAAAAAATAAGACTCGTCTCCATAAGTCAACTATTATTAAATTAAACAAGTCTTTGGCAGATGGGACAACAATAATCCTAGCATGTGGCCATGTACTTCGTAAACACCCAAAGTAAGAATTTTGGGTTCAGAATCACTCGTGTTATAAATGTTGGTACACAACTTTTACAAGATATGGACTTGAGGATTCGCTTCCCTCTACCATCATGTTTTTCCAATAAATATGGCATGTAGTTATTACAATTCAGAGGAAAATGGTGTTAGATAATTTGATGTAACTAAAAAACATACTGCTGCTTCAAAATATGAACTAAATTATTCCCTTATATAAAGACCGATATCAATCAACAACCTATGCAATTGCTTCTTCGAGATTATCAATTTCATCTAAATCGAAAAATAAGATTCACCTCTATAAGTCAACCATTTTTAAATTAAACAGTATCATTAAACAAGTCTTTGGCAGATGGAATAACAATAACCTTAAGCGTTGCTTCTTCATCAACAGATATGACACTTTAGACTTTTTCCGTTTTTGCTTTACCGACAACGACGAACATCTTCTGCAGGAATTTCGTAGCTTCGTTGGAACCTGGAAGGAGTTTATGGTCAATAGAGGTATTGATAGAATATACTAGGTGACATATAAATCCGAACACCCAGTTTAAATGGTTTTATTTTAATAAAAGTTGGTGAATGTATTTATCTTACTGTAAATAACAAGTGAAAAAATGTTCAGCCTTATCAGTTGGAGATTCCGGTTTTTATACTGCTTTTTTTTAATTCACTAACGCTCTAAAAATGAATATTTCAGCCGCAGTAAAGAATCAACGTTGGCGGATTTTGGTTCTTGACATCCTTTACGATCGGTTACGATGCCTAGAGTACGGAGACCTGTACGATTTCGTCAACTTAGTGAGTTTGATAGGGGCCGTATAGTGGGACTTCGGGAAGCTGGTCAGGCATGGCTTCGAGAAGGCCGTACGCAAAGAGCAAGGGGCACTGGACGCCGCCGTAGAACAACAGACCGTGAAGATCGCCGCCTAAGATTATTGGCCTTAAGGGACCGTTTCTCCACTACCAGGTCCATTGCAAATGAATGGTTTGCAGAACACGGAAGACCTATTGGCATGCGAAGTGTTTACCGACGAATGAGAAGTTTTGGCTTGTTTTCATACCGGCCACACTGGGTCATCCCTTTAACTCGAGAACACCGACGTAATCGCCTTGAGTGGTGCAGACAACGGTCACTCTGGGATCAGGAATGGAACAGTATTGTCTTTAGTGACGAGTCTCGATTTTGTTTAGGCATGCACGATGGTCGTGCCAGGGTTAGAAGGCGACGTGGTGAAAGGAGGAATCCACAGTTTTTTGTTGAAAGACATGTTCATCACACTGTCGCAGTTATGGTTTGGGGTGCTATAGCTTATGGTTCCAGGTCACCTTTAATCTTCATCAGAGGTAACATGAACGCCCAGCGTTATATCCACGAAGTTCTAGAACCCCATCTTTTACCCTATCTTGACACAGCAGTGGCAGATCCAACTTTCCAACAAGATAATGCCCGACCACATGTTGCAAGAGTCACAATAGACTTCTTTCAACATAATGATGTCACATTGTTACCATGGCCACCAAGATCTCCCGACTTATCCCCAATTGAGCACGTGTGGGATATGATGGGTAGGAGATTGCTCAATTTGCAACGTCCTCCTCAGACTCTAGAAGCACTTCGAGAGGAGTTGGTGGTTGCCTGGAATGAGATACCACAGGACGACATTGACCACCTGATCAGAACACATTATTAAAGGTCAAAGGGCTTTAAAGCAGTGCAATCATTTTGAAATTTTTATCATTTACTTATTATGCTTCATTAAGTACTTATACAAAATTTTATTAAAATAAAACCATTTAAACTGGGTGTTCGGATTTATATGTCACTTAGTATATTAAATAATCTACTAGGCTGGACCAAATTTATTTGACAATTTTATTACAATCTGTCTTGAAATTAGTATAGACATTTTAATGAAAGATTTGTTGGGGCATTGAAGAGAATACATTCATTGAGACATCCTCGTATTGAAAATATGAAGTTGGATACATACCTTTATGAAACCACTTGGGCTTCGGCCAATGTATGAAGACGAAATACACGGGAACAGAGGACAGAATCATCAGAAGTCCCATTCCAGTCTCATACGGGCTGGCCACCATAGGAACGGCCGTCACAAAAACGGTGCAGGCCAAATACAGAACAGGCCAGAAAAGGTTCACCTTGATTGGTCTGTCAAGTTCGGGCCGTTTCCATCTCAGCCAAGGGATGCAGAATACTGACGCGCCGATACTCAACTGCAAACATAGAGCCAATGTAAAGATGCACACAAATTGCGCTAAAGGGAAGCCAAGAAAAGGGAAACTGTTTCGTTGGGTTAAGGCAGTCCACGGTTGTTTTTTTGTGGTCCCAGTTTGCTTTTTTGTGGTTGTGCTTTAGTAATGCTATTATTAGATTACGGATTTTTTTGATCAAATTTTTTGAATCTTATTTCCATACTGTCTCGAAAAATATCAACGCGACCCAGTTCAAATTTCGTGTCCACATTAAGTTAAAGTATGTTTATGTCATGAGTCCACTGCTTTTGAAAAAATTGTTTTTTCAAACAGTATTATTAGATGACTTCCCTACCAAACTTTTTTATCTCGTCTTGGATAGCTCATAACATGTAAAGAATTAGATCATGTCGATGTGTAAAACATTTTTTGTAATTGTTCAAAAAATAAACAAGATACCCAACTAGCAAAGTAGTGCTATAAGCTTTTGGTAAAAGGACCGTTCAGCCATAAAAGCTCTCTATTGTTGTTGCCTAAACAGAAAAATGCTGACTTAATGTTGTGTGGAATGCAAATTTGCTTTCTGCACCATATTTGCTCTAAAATGAGGTGTTTAAAATATTCTTATAGCATAGTTACACAACACCTTATAGGACAAATTTCTAACTGTTGCATAAACGTTTATACTACTATTTTATACGGCATATTTGCAGGTTAGTCAAAATGGTTGTGTTGTGGCGGCCATGGTAACGTTTATAAAACAAACCCGAGCCTTGTTGTTTTGCTGTGCAAATTTACTACTTTAGTCAACAAATTGCTCCCAACGGAAGCACTTATACAACTGTTGTTTAGTAACTGTTAAAGCCTGTACATATGCTAAATATGTTGGTATACAACTTCACCATAACCTAACTTTCTGCGGTCATATTTTTGTTAAAATGCCATAACCAATGTTTTAAGACAAAAAAAGGTTTTATCAACTGTTCAAACAGAAGATATAGATCTGGTACAAATTCTAGGTAAATCATTCGAATCTGTCGGTATTTCATTTGTGACATTTGTCAAATTGTTGTATAACACCTGCAGGCAACACCAAAATATTCTAATAAACTAAAGACAACATGGATGATGCCATGATTATACACAACCACCCGCCATATTGGGCAAACATTTATTCCTCTATTTGATATTAAATAATTATGTTTCAGTTCGAAATTACAGATATAAAGTGATAAACATAAGTGTAATTGTGTCTAAATATAGGATTCGTGGAAGATTTAACGCAGATAAGTTCAGTTTTCCATCTTAAAAATCTAGACATACTTTCGATCATTATCAAAATATGAATCAAATACGAAGCCCGTAGAAATTGCGTAACTACTTTGCACGATAATCACAATAAAATTTGCTGCGCAAGTAATTCAATAGCCCTATATCACAGTGTAGAAGTTTATCATATACCTGTGTGTGAAATTCACAATGGCCGATATGTAAGTTAACAAGATGACTATATTGTGTTAGTTATATATTCTTCACTTCGTCTATACAATACATAAGAAATAGATTGGTTTCAATAAAGTAGAATAACGTAACAGAATAGTTGTATAGTTGACAAAAACTGAATCTTGCACTGATGCAAATGTCCTATAGCGGCTGCAAGAGGCTTACACTTTTGTTGTATACCTGCAGCCCTTATACAACCTCTTAAAAGACTGAAGTGTCCTATTAGGTGTGCCCATTCAGCTTGTATAGCTGTTCTAAGAGGGTTTTGCCAATGTTCTTATAGTATACAATGCTGTGTAAGGAATACTGTATAATCATTCTTGCAACTCTAATAGGAGTGATAATTGTTAGTTGGGTTGTATCGAAATACGATGAAAAAATCTATTCAACCACGTTCTCGCAGTATCCAGCCTGGTTGTCAGATTGTTGGAAACAAGCAAACCAGTGTATAATAATAATAGATTATTCAAAATCAAATGAGATCCCGTGCACTGGGCTACGCTCTGACATTTGTCATTTGTACCCGTCAAACGTGACACGTTGCTTCTCTTTGCGTCGCTTTGCTTTAGTGGGCGTGTAACTTGAGATTACTTCAGTAAGTGCCCGGATATAGCAGTTTTGATTGTTCAGTTAAATATACGTAGTTTGAACCTCCAAATAACAAGCAATGCATACTTAAAATCGGATAAAAAAATCTCTTGATAATGACGAAGATGCTACGAGGAGGCTGCTAATAACTAATAAGCGTTATTAAGATTTTGCGTTAGAATAGCTGACCTAAAAGGCTGTTATTGAATTGCAGATACTTAATAATCCAGTCACATTAGCGGTTTTACCTCGAAATAAGAGATAACTAGCTGTAATCTAGTTGAAACCTTTATTTTGTTATTCTTAAAGCGGTCTCAGAAGTCTAAAAAAAAATTCGTGTCCGCGTCATAAAATATCACAGGTCAAATATCATATAAATCGATTTTTTTGCAAAGATCTCGCTTCCTATGTGTTCAATCCTATTTATTTGCTTGAATGTTGTCCTCTACAACTTTTGTTTCAAATGTTTTTTCATACAATTAACTGCTGAAATGAGATTCTCTACAATTTTTGTTTCAATTGTCGTATTGAGTCTATAAATCAATAAAAAAGTATATAGTTGTGTATAATTAGCATTTTTCATTAGTTACTGCATTATATTCTTCCCTTGTCGAACATATACATATCTATATAAAATATACGCTTATATCAATTCGCAGAACCCAAATGAAGGATTTTGCAGCCAACAAATACACATACGTTATAGAGACCCCATAGTAGTACATAGTACATTTTCAGGGTATAGCTTTGCAAAAAACAGAGTATTACGAGATTATTCTGTGCCTATAAGAGTTGACTGTTCACAACTGAAAAAACCCAGACAAGGAATTGCGTCAACAAAAAAATCATATGTATATGTTATAGAGGTGCTATTGTAATAAATACAATCTCCTGTTTTTTTTTCCAAAGCTTCTCCCAAGATATGTACTTGTATCTCTGCCATACGCATGAGTTTGTTGTTGAAAGACATGTTCATCACACTGTTGGAGTTATGGTTTGGGGTGCTATAGCTTATGGTTCCAGGTCACCTTTAATCTTCATCAGAGGTAACATGAACGCGCAGCGTTATATCCACGAAGTTCTAGAACACCATCTTTTACCCTATCTTGACACCCTGGCAGATCCAACTTTTCAACAAGATAATGCCCGACCACATGTTGCAAGAGTCACAATAGACTTCTTTCAACATAATGATGTCACATTGTTACCATGGCCACCAAGATCTCCCGACTTATCCCCATTTGAGCACGTGTGGGATATGATGGGTAGGAGATTGCTCAATTTGTAACGTCCTCCTCAGACTCCAGAAGCACTTCGAGAGGAGTTGGTGGTTGCCTGGAATGAGATACCACAGGAGGACATTGACCACCTGATCAGAAGCATGCCTAGGCGCGTTGGAGAATGCGTAGCACATCAGGGTGCATCCACACATTATTAAAGGTCAAAGGGCTTTAAAGCAGTGCAATCATTTTGAAATTTTCATCATTTACTTATTATGCTTCATTAAGTACTTATACAAAATTTTATTAAAATAAAACCATTTAAACTGGGTGTTCGGATGTATATGTCACTTAGTATATGTACTAGCTATACCTTTTCAACATATATGAGTTTGTCGGTGGCACAATTCTTCGTTTGGGTTCTGCGATTTTTTTCAGGTTTGAGCAGACAAGCTAGAGTCCCCTGATTTTTCCTAAAGTTACGAATACTAATAGGGGAATTATTCATCGGGAATAACGGTTTGAACAATATTGCTGGAGCTGGGGTACTCCAAATGAAGCAGGCAACTAGAATAGCGTGACAATGCAAATTATACTCACCCATGTTGCAAATCCAACGTAGTTTATAAGAGCATCAATATCCGACACGACTAGATATAGCAACGAGAGGATAGCCTAGAAAATACAAAAATAATATAATAGTCTTTCCATGCTAACAGATGGAGAAATGTCGGTGCAGCATTTAAAAAAAAATGTAAAAACATTTGGCGCGATTTCCAGTGGAATCATTAGGAGCCCAGATACCCAACATCAGCGAGTGCAAAATGAATAAAAACTGCCCTTATTGGACACAACATTTCGTTATCATACTCTCATACAAATCGACTGGGACCCATTTTCCATATTCTTTTGCGGGGTCCTTTATATTGCCCCTAAATCAATCCTTATCATACCATAACTAAAACGGAAGGCAGAGGAGTCAACATCTTGGTTTGTATCATGGTCAGCAGCTCCGGCATCTGACCATAGCACGCTCCGGCGTAAAACAATCTAGACGACGTCAGCAAAATGCCGTTCACAGCTCCGAAAGTGGATAAGGCTACGAATACGGGAATGGTCCATGCCATGGGGCCGAACAGGTGGTTCGCAAAGGTCACAGCCACCGCTTTGGAGCCCAGCATCTCGTCAGGAGACATCGTTGTGTAGAAGGCGACGTTTGTGAACACGTAGACTACTGTTACCAAGCTGCAGGATATCGCGATGGCCAGAGGCAGGTTTCTGCGGGAAAAAGAATTATATTTAGGAAGCTGTTCGAAAGGATAATATACGAACAAATCATAGAATTCATTGAAAATAACAAAATTTTGATAGAAAATCAAGCTGGATTTAGAAAAAAATATTCCACAGAAACGGAAATCCAAATGGTGGTGGAAGACTGGAGAAGAAGTATAGATGAGAAAGAATATATTGTGACAATATTTTTAGACTTCAAAAGGGCATCTGAGACTACAGATAGCGAAAAGTTGTTAATGAAATTGCATCACTATGGCTTCAAAGGATCAGTATTACACATTTTACAAAATTGTTTAGTAAATAGAAGTCAAAAAACTAAAGTTGGAAATATTGTGTCAAGTGTTCAAAATAGTATATCAGTAGGGGTGCAACAGGGGAGTAAATTAGGGCCGTTACTATTTATTATTTATATAACTGATATCTCTCATTTTAGAACACTGCAAAATTCAAATATTTGCGGACGATACAGTTATATATATATATATATATATATATATATATAACTTGAGACATGGTCATTGTCGTCTAGACCAGTTAGGTGAAAAATTAAAGCTTCCGCTTTTTGTTGGGTACTTCGACAAAATTTAAGCAAATAGGACTCTATACTTTTTTTAATTCTCTCTAGCTTTCAATGGACTTTGCCATCATCATCAGGAGCTGCAATTACAATGATAACAGTAGCAACAAAAGTGTAAAATGAACTTAAATTGAATCAACTTACAGTAGTATGTGAGGATGTTGCTAATTGTTGTTTTCGTATAGGATGAGGGAAACGTCCAGTAATATGGTGAGAGTTGGATACATGGTACAATGGTTAAAATTATATAAAATATGACAAGACAAGTTAAAGACAGATTAAAAATTATTTAGAAAATATTAGAGCATTACGTCGTGAAGCCACTTGATGATTGCATAAATTGGTGGTCATGGAATAATGAGTGAGATGAACCTTTGACAGAAGGCCGAAGGTTGTCAATGTCTGTGTTGAAAGATGGAACGAATTGTGGGCGTGTGCCAAAACGTTGCCAAATCACTTCAGATGATGTGATTTTCAGAATGTTATGTAAGAAATTGTTAAACCGACCAGAGGCAGTTGAATAAACTATATTTTTATTAATGGGAATTTTAAATTAATAATTATTAATAAATCGTGAGAAGAGAATTATTAGATTTTGAGTGGAATGAAATTTGTTGGTGGAATCGGCCAAAACACAGATATGGTTGTGAAAAGTCGAAATTTGGGGAGATATGTAAGTTCTCCAACTTTTCGCAGTTTAGCAAATATGAGTAAATGACACTCAGTTGTTTAATATCTGTCTTTTTGTTGATACAGTTGTTATTCATGAAAATGTGGGACATTTCCAGGAATAAACGTTTGGAAAGGTGTTTTTCTTCATCAAGAACTTTGATACTTGTGTAATTCATAGAATGCCCTGTTGTGTTAACATGAGATGCTAGAGCGCATCTTTCAGGATGAAGCCTAGAATCACTTTTGTGTGATGTAATCCTTCCTTTAAGAGATCTGGAGGTCTGACCTATGTATATTTGGTTGCAGTTGTTGCAATTGATGGAGTAGACTGTGTTAGTTAAGCCAAGTAGCGGGACCTTGTCTTTCATTTTTGAAAAATTGCGGTTTATAGTGAGGACGGATCTGCAAGCAATTCGAAAGTTCAAAGGACTGCACAATCTGATCAGCTTAGGGGTCAGTTCCTTGATATAGGGCAGGACAGCAAAACCAGGTCTGGAGTCTGGGTTGGTGCTTGTACTGTTTGGATTTGGGAATTACATCAGTTCCGTTATTATTAGGGTTTTTGTGACTATTACCTGCATCACCAGAGTTCGGCAAAATATTGGAAGGTGAACTAAATAAGATCTTGTTAATCGGACACTTCGGATAACCATTATTGATGAACAGTTTTGATAGTTTATGTAAATTTGAGGTGTGGAAAATATTATCTGAGATGCTGATTATCCTTGTTTTCATCTGTTTTACCAAATTGATTTTAATCCCTAGCTTATGGTATGACCTAAAATTGAGAAACCGACCTGAGGCCATAGGTTTCTGGTACCAGTCTACCAATAAATTGTTGTTGTTGGTGCGGATGAGTCTTGTGTCTAGAAAGGGGACAGACAGGTTCTCATCTTCTTTTTCAATGGTAAATTGGATGTAGGGGTCATAGCTGTGGAATTATCTGACAATACCATTCAGACCTATGGAGGGGAGGCATAAAATAATGTCATCTACGTATTTTTTTATGAAGAAGAGGTTATAGGGTAGTGTCGGAATAACAGTGTCAAGCAGATCATCCATGACATATTCTGCCAAAATTGGTGATAGAACAGATCCCATAGGACAACCATGTGTTTGAGAATATATTTTGTTGTTGAAAGAGAAATAATTGTTATGAAAAAGGAATGTTATAATGTTGGTGAAAGATTCTAGAGATATGTTGCAGTGTTGACTGAACTCATTCCAGTGTTTATTAATAGTTCTTGTACATGCATCCAGATAGATATTGCTGAATAGCGACACCACATCAAGACTGGCGATAATATGATCGGCTGGTATTGTCAATCTGTTGAACTGACGAGAGACCTCAAATGAGTCTTTGATGTAGTAATCATTATCTGCATGTGCTGATTTTAGTGTTGTCGTTATTAATGAAGACAATGCCTGGGTGGCTGAACCTATTGATGCAACTATAGGTCTTACTGAGAGTACGGGTTTTTTCAATTTTCGGAAGTGCATAGAATTTGGGAGGGACAGAGTTATAAGTGGTCAAAGTTCTTTTTTGTTCTTGGGTTATTTGTTCAGTGCTGAGAAGTTGCTTAACAATGTCATTACTTTTCTTTTCAACTTTAGGTGTGGGATCTCTATTAATTTCATGATATGATGGGTCATCATTGATGAGATTGTTGCAAAGATCTAAATAGTGTTGCTTAAGCATTATCACTGTAACATTGCCTTTGTCAGATCTTGTAACCATAAGTTCAGAATGTTGTTTTAGAAATGTTCTAGTTTTGTTTAAAAGGTTGTGATAAAAGGAATGCTTTTTATTAAGATTGTTACTATAATAATAGTTAGTGATGAGGTTAGTGGAACGAGTTGTGAAAATGTTTCTTTCAGTGTCAACACTTATGGAGGATGCTATTGTGTCTCCATCAGCTAGGATTGATCTAATTGGAATGTCATTGTTAACAATTAGCAACATCCTCACATACTACTGTAAGTTGATTCAATTTAAGTTCATTTTACACTTTTGTTGCTACTGTTATCATTGTAATTGCAGCTCCTGATGATGATGGCAAAGTCCATTGAAAGCTAGAGAGAATTAAAAAAAGTATAAAGAGTCCTCTTTGCTTAAATTTTGTCGAAGTACCCAACAAAAAGCGGAAGCTTTAATTTTTCACCTATATATATATATATATAGCACATAAGCATTTGGACACTGCTTTAGAACAGTTAAATAGTGATATTGAAAAAATTATGAATTGGTTAAATGTCAATAAACTTAAATTAAACACTAATAAAACAAAATGTATGTCAACAGGGAAACATTTAAGTGACAATACAATAAGGCTTATGCTTAATGATGAAAAAATTGAAGTGGTCGACTCATTTAAATATCTTGGTATATATGTGGATAGTAAGCTACTGTTTCACGAACATTATGAATACATTATTTCAAAAATATCGAAAAAGATAAATTACTTCTATAGAGTTTCCCATAATCTTAGTATGTATTCCAAAAAAATTGTGTACAACACTATAATTCTTCCTAATTTTTTATATTGTTCAACCATCTTGCTTACAGCAAATGAAAAGATATTTTCAAAATTACAAATTCTACAAAATAAAGCTATGAGAATCATTTTAAATAAAAACAAATATGCTAGGATTAAGTCCATGTTAGAAGAACTGCAGTCGTTGGATGTGAAAAATTTCATATATTATTTAATTCTCGTTTTCATATTCAAATTTAAAAAATCATTTATTACCACCACATTTAGAGAAATTCGCAAAATTAAATAGTCACTATCATAACTACGATACTATGATTTAAAACAGGGTTCGAATTTAAAAATGTTTAAGGTGAAATTAAAAAATCAAAATACATAGTGACGTAATTTTAATTTTAATGGACAAGAATGTAAAATTACAGAAAATGGATTGAAGAAAAATATATTACCGCATCTTTATACAAAATTGACATTGTAACATTAATTCTAAATAAATCTTCAATAACAACAAAAAATTGCGAGAAACCTCGAGTTTAAATTACGCTTTGGGATATACAGTGAGAACCAAATTCGTCTGACGGCTTTAGTTCAATGACTAAAAAGCGCTGTCTGTAAGAATTGCATCAAAACCGTTGTTCTTGAAAAACTTAAAAACTAGGATCTCAAAACTTCAAAATGACATTTCTAAAGTCTAGATGCGAACATTTTTTTCAGAAATACAATCTGTTAAGAAATCACTGAAAAATTTGAATTCTTTTCTTGGTTCCTTAATTTGTTTGAGCAGTGTATAATTGGAACTTCTATCGATCGTCATGGAAATTTCTACCAAATACATAATTATAATTTTTTTTTAGTTTGCTTACCTAACGGGATCTTTTAACTCTTCAATAATGAAGTTCAGATAGTTCCTGTAAAGATAAAAGGTTATTTAGAAAACTGTGGATGGCAGAAGCTTGTCAACAAGATTTTTGTCCTTGAATAAAATAATAGACTTTACAGCTTCCAGATATTTCTTGGTAAATGCTGATGAGATACTATAATTTGATATTAATAATGATAAACGTCTTTTATTTTAAGCTACTCGTTCGCTAATAAAAAGATAAATAATAAGACTGATAATATAGCAATCGAACGGTACCGCCCTCCAGCGTTTTCGTCCGCGTTTCGCTGTTTTATTTGAAACGCAAAAGCGAATTAGATTATGGACACCGAAACTAAAAATGAATGGTTCAACAATATCGCAATATGTAATTTTTGAAACCATCAATAATTCGCGTAGAATTTTCTTAGTTTTGTAGTTTGAAATTTGTTTACTGAGGTGAAATTGGCGAAGCACCTAAAAACAACTTAGGGCCATATCATCAGTCGTTCTTATAATTGTAGGACGCCTTTATGGCCTCCTTGATATTCATAGTCTCCTCAAAGGCTGGGATATTTCGAGATTTCTACAGTTCCGTGTCAGCGCCAGCGCTCTCCTGTTGTCAGGTTATGTTTTCTTCTCGAATTGTAGGAAATCTCAGGATATACCAATGCATTCGGACTAGGTTAGAAGCTAAGCCCATACGATCTTAAACGATTGTTTGTTAGCAACATCAACAGATTATTGTTTACACAAAATTTGACCTTGAACGAAAATCGTATACTTTTCCCTGAGTAGACATCTGCTTTCATCGCGCTTAAACTGCTTTTTACATAACATGTAACACTTCACCACCTTTGAGAATAGTCCAAAATGCTATATATTGAACTGAAATGTTTCAAAATCCTCAAAACTCTGTGAAAATATCACGGAAGTACACGTAAACATGGCAACATGAGTAAAATAAAGCTTTCCCTCAATTGCACAAAGCCGCAGCATACAAATTATTTCAGCATTTTAGTAATTTGCGTGGAGGTTTATCGAGCGTCCCTCGTATACTTCATACCCAAATTGGACAACGAGGTTTACAGTTCCACGTTCCGTCGCGTCAATCGCATGTCATCTGTCGACGCATTATCTTTCCGTTCCGTCCCCCTCTCCATGTGTAGCGGAAGTAGGAGGTTAGAGACTGCATTCCGATTGTTTCCCTAAAATGGCTTCTCATGTTTGATAATTTTTAATATGTTCGGGTGTATTGATATTTTTAACATGTAACGAAGGTATCTGTCGTTATCAATAAGCCCAATGTCTCCGTCCTTTTGTTTTTATATTTATAACAAGTTCTAACTTCTCTACGTTCGTTTTGAAACACCTTGTGGCTGCGACCTCAACGACGAGTAAGTTGTTTGACAATTTAAATCGGTCCTGTATTCGTTGCTAGCATCACAATTGTGTTTTCAGAATCCTGATGAAGGCTCCATATAGAATGCCGAAAGCTTGATTTTATCGTCAAAAGAGTCAACTTATGCCTAAAAATTTGCTAATTTCCCAATTAACAATTAATAATTGTATTATATTTATATATATATATATATAACAAAAATAGGAAAATAATGGACAAAATCCGCCTAAAGTGGATTCGAGGAGAAAATAGGATAGGTAACCCGAGCGATACGTATTTCTGCTGGTTGGCTTCATCAAATGAATGCACATATGCAACTACAAAAGTAGAGACACATGCCCATACATCCGGATACGGGTGTAACCTGAGGAAAGAAAGATGGAGAGGAAAAAAAAGACACACGAAGTCCACAACAAGAGCCAACCTACACGTTGTAGTATAAAATAGCTAGAAGACCTCGAATTTTCAAAGCGACAAATAACTACAACCACGCGGCCGGTTATAGCCACTTGCTGTGGTATTATACTACAATGTGTAGGTTGGCTCTTGTGGACTTCGTGTGTCTTTTTTTTCCTCTCCATCTTTGTTTCCTCAGGTTACACCCGTATCCGGATGTATGGGCATGTGTCTCTACTTTTGTAGTTGCGTATGTGCATTCATTTCGGGCCTGATGAAGCCTACCAGCAGAAATACGTATCGCTCGGGTTACCTATCCTATTTTCTGCTCGAATCCACTTCTTGCGGATTTTGTCCATTATTTTCCTATTTTTGTTATATACCTTTCTCCGCATGATAATTTTCTCTGTATATATATATATATATATATAAGTCAAAAGTATAAACAATTTGATGCAAATAGATATTCGTAACATAGAGCGCTGACATGGAAGAGTAGAAAACTATGAAAATCAAGGAGGCCAAAAAGGAGTCCTACAATTGACGATACGGCCCTTAGTAATATGATTCACATGTGGAATGAAATTTAGACAGTCGTCGAGAAAAATACATAAATATTTGACTGACTCATGAAACTGAAGAATTTCGCCATCCAGTAATATGTTTTTTTACCTTTTAATATATACTAAGTGACATATAAATCCGAACACCCAGTTTGAATGGTTTTAATTTAATAAAAGTTGGTGAATGTATTTATCTTACTGTAAATAACAAGTGAAAAAATGTTCAGCCTTATCAGTTGGACATTCCGGTTTTTATACTGCTTTTTTTTAATTCACTAACGCTCTAAAAATGAATATTTCAGCCGCAGTAAAGAATCAACGTTGGCGGATTTTGGTTCTTGACATCCTTTACGATCGGTTACGATGCCTAGAGTACGGAGACCTGTACGATTTCGTCAACTTAGTGAGTTTGATAGGGGCCGTATAGTGGGACTTCGGGAAGCTGGACTTCCTTTTCGGGCAATTGCAGTTAGAGTGCAAAGAAGTGTAGACACTGTGGTTAGGTGTTGTCAGGCATGGCTTCGAGAAGGCCGTACGCAAAGAGCAAGGGGCACTGGACGCCGCCGTAGAACAACAAACCGTGAAGATCGCCGCCTAAGATTATTGGCCTTAAGGGACCGTTTCTCCACTACCAGGCCAATTGCAAATGAATGGTTTGCAGAACACGGAAGACCTATTGGCATGCGAAGTGTTTACCGACGTATGAGAAGTTTTGGCTTGTTTTCATACCGGCCACGCTGGGTCCTCCCTTTAACTAGAGACCACCGACGTAATCGTCTTGAGTGGTGCAAACAACGGTCACTCTGGGATCAGGAATGGAACAGTATTGTCTTTAGTGACGAGTCTCGATTTTGTTTAGGCATGCACGATGGTCGTGCCAGGGTTAGAAGGCGACGTGGTGAAAGGAGGAATCCACAGTTTTTTGTTGAAAGACATGTTCATCACACTGTTGGAGTTATGGTTTGGGGTGCTATAGCTTATGGTTCCAGGTCACCTTTAATCTTCATCAGAGTTAACATGAACGCGCAGCGTTATATCCACGAAGTTCTAGAACCCCATCTTTTACCCTATCTTGACACCCTGGCATATCCAACTTTCCAACAAGATAATGCCCGACCACATGTTGCAAGAGTCACAATAGACTTCTTTCAACATAATGATGTCACATTGTTACCATGGCCACCAAGATCTCCCGACTTATCCCCAATTGAGCACGTGTGGGATATGATGGATAGGAGATTGCTCAATTTGCAACGTCCTCCTCAGACTCTAGAAGCACTTCGAGAGGAGTTGGTGGTTGCCTGGAATGAGATACCACAGGAGGACATTGACCACCTGATCAGAAGCATGCCTAGGCGCGTTGGAGAATGCGTAGCACATCAGGGTGCATCCACACATTATTAAAGGTCAAAGGTCTTTAAAGCAGTGCAATCATTTTGAAATTTTTATCATTTACTTATTATGCTTCATTAAGTACTTATACAAAATTTTATTAAAATAAAACCATTTAAACTGGGTGTTCGGATTTATATGTCACTTAGTATACATCTTAAATTTTTTTCTGAGAAAATATTATAACGTTTCATAATGTATGATTTGAACGGAGTTTATGACTTTTTGTAAATTTAAATCTTCATTTATTTGAGATTCTGCAACTATAGTTTTGTAAATATTGAAATTGTGTTGCAAATTTTTTCTTCTTACTAAAATTTCGATTCTTGGAAAAATGTGGAAAATGATGTCACTATTAATTTTATAGCGAACTTTTTTTGTCTCAAGGAAGACTTTCAAATGTATTACAAATAAATGGAAACCCCTCTTGGATTCGTTTGTATACCTACCTCCAAAAATAATTTGGCTTCAATAACATATGAACTGTCAGATAATGATAATACTTATTTGTTATCTCCACTAATGATGATGTATTAGTTTTATTTAAGCTTTAAATCAGTAAATCTTCAAAACTGCTGAACTAAAGTAGATTAATTTTATATTGTTATAAAGGGAATTGAAAGATCTTTAAAATAAGGTATCACTCGACCCCTCCTTTCCATTTAAGATTTTGGGGTTGGTGTCACCCCCGCTTAGGGTTCTGCACGTGCTAACGCGATTTTTTGCCAAACTTGTGTCCCCCTCGAACACAAAATCGACGGGTCTAAGCGTTTTTCAAAAAAAAAAATTGAGCTGCCAGTAAATACGTCTGTTTCGTTTCCGATGCGCCACCCTGTATGTGGGTACTGCATATTTATTTTATTCTATTTTTTAATATAATATAACTTGTAGTTTAGATGCAGGTACATTACATTCCAGAATGAGTTATGAAGCTAATAGTGATTGAGTTTGAGATAGTTAAGCTGATACAAAAGCACACTAGAACTAAAGAACAAGAGCGTCAACAAGAGATATTGCGATAATATCGCCTAGCTTATCTGGAAGAGAACGAAATGAAATTCCTCTTACCAGCCGTTGTATGCGAACAATCCGGAGTAAAACGACAGCGCTACAGACGTCACTTCCGGCTTAGTGTTCATGAAAGAGAAGTGCTCCACATGCCCTGAAAATGGGGAAATCCGATTATAGGGTATTCCTTATGGATACTTAGATATATGATGACTCTGTTCCTGTGTTAGGGCACAGGGGATGGTTTTTAATAGGCTATATCAACATTTTGAATGTAGCGTATTTACCTTAGAGTAAAACAGAGATATTTGGATGTATACAGGGCATTTCGGAAGGACGTGCCAACTGTCGGGCAGAAAGTACAACCAAAAATAAAAATAAGTTCTTATAAATAAAGATGCTCCACTACTGAGGTACACCGTGATAAAGTTTTATTTATGAAATTGAAAAAAATGATATCTACGGAGCACTCAAAAATACTAAGATCAGACAGCCTACCATGTACCTATTTTTTATTCCCAACTATGCTGTTAAGTATCTATGAAAAGGAACTAAAGCATATGGTTCTCCTCCTCATACTGCGTGTCCGAGGTTGCTGACGATTTGCGATATCTTGTGTCGAGCGCACTTAATCCGAATGCTTAAGAATTTCAAGTAAAAAAGGCCGTTAGATTCAGAATTTTATTTTTAATGAATGATGTTTCTACGCTACTGATGAAGGACAAGACCCGCATATTAATCAATTAATGTCGTAATTAAGTGACATACGTTTCTTCAGATGCCAATAGTGTTTTCAGTATCAAGCTCCACGGTGTTTTCAGAATGGGGAAGGCTAAACCTTTTCATAAGAATATTTTCGGATTTTACCTCAAATGTTCAAACCCAAATATCTTCATAACGACTGATCTTACAAAAGTGCCTTAAAAGATAAAATTTGTAGAAAATTAAATGGGTAAACGCACTTTTTCCAAGATCTTATTTCAGTATCTTCAACGGCTCCGTAGATATGTATATATATATATATATATATATATATATATATATATATACAGGGTGTCCCAGAAGTCGACGTCAAGCCGAAACCGGGTGATAGGCAAAGTCATAACAGCTATCAGAAAAATATTTAAAAAAATTTTATGTATGTGTTTTGAAAATTATAGGTCTTTGAAAAAGATATAGAAATTTCACACCCTACGGCAGTCTGTCAACTCCTGTTACTACAAATATTAACTTTCTTGGATTTTATTTTTACAATGTAATGATGAATAATGCATCTTTAAACTGGTGTGTCAACCTTACTGCCAACTTTTCTCGTTCAGGAAAAATTGCCACTTATTTCCCAACCAAGTATTCCAAAGTAAAACTTTGCTCAACTTTAACTGGCTGTACTGGAAAAAAATGTACTACGAAAGTTTGGCAAGTAACCTTACAAGTTGGCGCATTTAATAACGATTCCAAAATGGTATAACACTTAGAAGATTACTCGTTAACTTATGCATAATTTTTATTTGAAGAAAAACTGATGAAAATTTTTCAAAATTTCCTAATTAAACAGCGATTATGAAAACGCACAAGGACCCTTAAGGATAACTGCTTGCACAACAGTGGGCGTCAAAATGCTGCTGATGATGATTTACCTTTACAGCAAATGCTCAAACTGTTTTCCTTCAGCCGCAATACACGCTCGACATCTTCTTAAAAAAGATCAGGTTATTAAACGAGCGAATCCACGGTTATTAACAAACTCAGCTGCTTCCAATAGTCTTTGCCGTAGCTCAGATACATTTTGAATTGGCTTGAAATACACTTTTTCTTTTACAGTTCCCCAGTAAAAAAAATCTATCGGATTCAAATCTGGTGACCGGGCTGGCCACGGTATTGTACCAGACCGCCCTATCCATCTGCCTGGAAAGTTTTGATCGAGATACTCTCTCACTGAGAGTGCATAGTGCGCTGGGCAGACATCATGCTGAAACCACATGTCCCTGTAAATACTCAGTGACACGTCCTCCAATAAAGTTTCTAAATGATTTTGCAAAAAACCTAAATAAACCTTAGCAGTCAAAGTCTCTGGGAACTCAAACGAGCCGACTATTTTACCATGAACACTCGATGATGTGGATGACGAGCTGCATTCGGGTACCTCTCGCAGTAAAGTCTCGCTGCAGCACTAGCATTGCATCTGCATTCCCCATAAATGAGGTGCATGTTAGCATATCCTTGTACGGTGTACACGGACATAGCGGCACTGCACAATCATACGAGTACTATCAAAGATAGTCTAAGGAAAGCAAATGTTGTTTTGAAGAGCAATTAAACAATCCAAATACAAATCACAAGCGATCAACAGTCCAGTTCACGAATCCAAAATTAGTAACAGTACGAAATCAACAAGCACGAACATGTAAAGATGCGCAGTAAACGAAGGAGTACTGATCGGTATCAAAGTGTGCAATAGCAAGTAAGTGATGTGCTTCATCCATACCACATACAGCGTGTTCAACCTCTCCTGCCCCGGGATTATGAGCCCCGAGTTGCTTTTTGTCGCGCAATGTTAGAAAGACACAGGAAAGGTCCACAGTTCTTTGAAAAAATGTTATGGTCGGATGAGACGACATTCAAGAAAGATGGGTACATGAACCTGCATAACTTACACGAGTGGCACGTAGCAAATCCACATTTGATGAGAGAAGATAAATCTCAATATCGCTTCAAGATAAACCATTGGACAGAAATTTTAAATGGTAAAATAATCGGTTCGTTTGAGTTCCCAGAGACTTTGACTGCTGAAGTTTCTTTGGATTTTTTGAAAAATCTTGTACAAAATTTATTGGTGGACGTGCCACTGAGTATTTACAGAGACATGTGGTTTCAGAATGATGGCTGCCCAGCGCACTATGCACTCTCAGTGAGAGAGTATCTCGATCAAAGCTTTCCAGGCAGATGGATAAGGCGGTCTGGTACAATACCGTGGGCAGCCCGATCACTTGATTTGAATCCTTTAGATTTTTTTACTGGGGAACTGTAAAACAAAAAGTGTATTTCAAGCCGATCCAAAATGTAGCTGAGCTACGGCAAAGACTATTGGAAGCAGCTGAGTTTGTTAATAACCGTGGATTCGCTCGTTTAATAACCCGATCTTTTTTAAGAAGATCTCGAGCGTGTATTGCGGCTGAAGGAAAACAGTTTGAGCATTTGCTGTAAAGGTAAATCATCATCAGCAGCATTTTGACGCGCACTGTTGTGCAAACAGTTCTCCTTAAGGGTCCTTGTGCGTTTTCATAATCGCTGTTTAATTAGGAAATTTTGAAAAATTTTCATCAGTTTTTTTTCAAATAAGAATTGTGCATAAGTTAACGAGTAATCTTCTAAGTGTTATACCATTTTGGAATCGTTATTAAATGCGCCAACTTTTAAGGTTACTTGCCAAGCTCTCGTAGTACATTTTTTTCCAGTACAGCCAGTTAAAGTTGAGCAAAGTTTTACTTTGGAATACTTGGTTGGGAAATAAGTGGCAATTTTTCCTGAACGAGAAAAGTTGGCAGTAAGGTTGAGACACCACCATTACATTGTAAAAATAAAATCCAAAAAAAGTTGATATTTGTAGTAACAGGAGCTGACAGACTGCCGTAGGGTGTGAAATTTCTATATCTTTTTCAAAGACCTATAATTTTCAAAACACATACATAAAATTTTTTTAAATATTTTTCTGATAGCTGTTATGACTTTGCCTATCACCCGGTTTCGGCTTGACGTCGACTTCTGGGACACCCTGTATATATTTTTTTAATTGCGTAAATAAAGCTTCATCACCCTTATGTATCGGTAGGGGATCATGTTTGGACCCATATTTATGAGAACTTTTCCATTATTTTTGGATGTACTATCTAACGTAACGTTTTTTTGAATCATCCTGCTTAAAAGATAAAAAATAACGTTGCAAAACATGTCTATATGATTGTGATGGGAAACAAACTCATTTAGATCGCCGGTTACGTACAGCCTTAATGCAATATTGCTTCTTTTATGACACAAATAATACATTTTAGAAAGCCTGATTTTTGAGCCTAACAGAGTCATTTTGAGAAAAATTCTCTTAATGTGACATCTGAAACTCATCCCGTGGTTTTCATGTCGATAATTCCGCATGTTTGTCGTTTAAAATTCCTCTTCACAAACACTACAAAGCTTCTGAAATTGAAATATTTCCACTATTAGAATATTCTTCAACACCAATAACTTTGACGTAGTTAAATTTCATTAGAGTTTTATTATTTATAATTTATCATTATCGGGATATCGATTATTCTCATTATGAACCACGAATGCCAAGTCTTTGAAGAATATCCCGATAGTAAATTTTTTTGTTGTATGAATCTAGTTCTAGTTCAAATATGGGTCTAGCGCTAAATTACAGGCTCTTAAACAAAAAATGTATCTATGTATAACAGATACTGCAGCATCTGGAGAGTTAGAAAAAAACATCAATCAACAAATTTTGAATGAATAAAATAGAACTTTACATTCAAATTTTCTTGTAATGTACCGGAATTTCGTACCATCATCAGCTGAATCAAATGTCTTGATGTTAGATTGTTTGAACGTAAACGGCTAAAGATATCACGTGGCTTACCTTTATATAACTGATATGCTCCAGCAGCTATGATGATGAACAGCGCCAACAATTTTGCATAAGTGAAGACATCTTGTACTCTCGTTGCCCATTTCACGTCGTAACAATTAACAAAAGTTAGCACACCTGTAAAGCGATTTATCCATGTTAGAGTAGTTCAAGTGCGGCCGATATACAGGGTGTCCGCAAAGTTGGGGTTTTCCTGTTCAGAAACAACTACCCTTGAAATAACAAAGGTAATGTGTAGTGAAACGAGGGCGACCAAGTAAAAAAAAAATAAAGGAAAAAGTACTCACTCTCCAGTTGACGAGAAGGGCTAAGTACGTCTCTGCCCGAAATCATACCGCTCCAACAGAAAATGAAATCAGCTGATGCGCTACCGAGCAGACGCAGAAACCACATTGATTGTCTTACACTTAATGGCACATCTTCTAACAAGGAAGGCAAAATGTTGCGTAAAAAGTCTAGGTATTGCATCCCGTCCAATCGATTTGGGAGAATAAATGGTCCAATGAGCATACCGTTCACCATGCCAGCCCAAACATTCACCGAAAATGTTTGTTGAAAATGTGCCCGACAGACAGCGTGCGGATTTTCTACTGACCAAACATGAGTGTTGCGAAAGTTATTCACTCCATTACGCGTGAACGTAGATTCGTCTGTCACCAATATGCACTTCAAAAAGTCCGGATTATTGTCATGTTGATGCAACAACCACTCACAAAACCGCACTCTTGCTGGAAAATCGTCAGGTTGAAGGGCTTGTACACGTTGGACGTGAAACGGATACAGCCCCTCTTCACGCAGCGTTTGCCACACTTTAGTTTTTGATACTTGCACTTCTCTAGCCACGTCTCTAGTGCTTGTTGAGGGATTCTCGTCTACGCGATTACCTCTACATGCGTGACCTGACACACTGACCCCGACCCAGTTCTGTCGTCGGGTTGAGCCAGTGACCTTGTACCAGTCGGTGATGTCGCGGCTACAGGACGGTATTCAGATATTTTTGATGTTGCAGAGCCCTTTATCTCGGTTCCCTTAAGACATTGGTGTATATGGTACTAAGAAAAATTGCTTATGTTTTCAAGATCTACACGTCGTGTAAACGAAAACTCCAACTTTGCGGACACCCTGTATAGTTGCTTAAATACGTCAGTGGCACCGCGACTGCTATAAGGAACATCTTGTTAATCCGATCTTTGAATAGTAGAACTCGGAAAAACGCTCCTAGGCAGATTATCTCGACACTCTAGGAACCAGGAAGCAGTCATTCCGATGCGTTCAAACATCATGTTGGTTTAAAAGTTTACGCAATTTTAGAAGAGAGATAGAAATTTACAAAACTAGAATCACAGAGCGGTATGATTATATCCCACTTCTGATTTTATACTACTTACATATACAACAAACAGCCAGCATCCTAGCAGCACTGTCTGGAGGATCACACTCTTGGAAGAAAGGCTTCATGACGTATTCACTGAAAGTGAGGGCCACGATTGCTTGTGAGCACGGCCTGACTATCATGCACTCTATCCATAATCTCACGAAAGCAAGGAATGGACCAAACGTCTCCATGATGTACGCATAGTCCGCTCCACTTTTTCGGATCATCGTGCCTAGCTCTGCATAGCAGTAAGCTCCTACCTGAAACAATTTGAAAACAATGTAGTAGGGCTACTATTTAAGATGAAGCAAAGTAGATTGACTCAGTTTTTCTTAAGCATCCTGTATTTGAGTTATATGAAGTTTTAAGCATCATTACGGAAAGTGGGATATGAGAATAGATGTAGTTTTAACCGTTGAGCTTCTAAAGCTGTTTTTTGATTTTTTTAGATAGTTTGGTGTTTTTGGTTTTTTGCTAGAAGTTTTGACGCTAACATGCAAAAAGCAGCTGAGGTTAGTATATTAAACCATATGATCTTTAAAGGGCTAACTCAAATAGGGGGGGCTTTTCTTAATGATACTACCATATACAGCTCGATTATTCTATATAAATATACTAAGTGACATATAAATCCCAACACCCAGTTTAAATGGTTTTATTTTAATAAAAGTTGGTGAATGTATTTATCTTACTGTAAATAACAAGTGAAAAAATTTTCAGCCTGAGTTTGATAGGGGCCGTATAGTATTGCAGTTAGAGTGCAAAGAAGTATAGACACTGTGGTTAGGTGTTGTCAGGCATGGCTTCGAGAAGGCCGTACGCAAAGAGCAAGGGGCACTGGACGCCGCCGTAGAACAACAGACCGTGAAGATCGCCGCCTAAGATTATTGGCCTTAAGGGACCGTTTCTCCACTACCAGGTCCATTGCAAATGAATGGTTTGCAGAACACGGAAGACCTATTGGCATGCGAAGTGTTTACCGACGAAAGAGAAGTTTTGGCTTGTTTTCATACCGACCACACTAGGTCCTCCCTTTAACTCGAGAACACCGACGTAATCGCCTTGAGTGGTGCAGACAACGGTCACTCTGGGATCAGGAATGGAACAGTATTGTCTTTAGTGACGAGTCTCGATTTTGTTTAGGCAGCACGATGGTCGTGCCAGGGTTAGAAGGCGACGTGGTGAAAGGAGGACTCCACAGTTTTTTGTTGACAGACATGTTCATCACACTGTTGGAGTTATGGTTTGGGGTGCTATAGCTTATGGTTCCAGGTCACCTTTAATCTTCATCAGAGATAACATGAACGCGCAGCGTTATATCCACGAAGTTCTAGAACCCCATCTTTTACCCTATCTTGACACCTTGGCAGATCCAACTTTCCAACAAGATAATGCCCGACCACATGTTGCAAGAGTCACAATAGACTTCTTTCAACATTGTTACCATGGCCACCAAGATCTCCCGACTTATCCCCAATTGAGCACGTGTGGGATATGATGGGTAGGAGATTGCTCAATTTGCAACGTCCTCCTCAGACTCTAGAAGCACTTCGAGAGGAGTTGGTGGTTGCCTGGAATGAGATACCACAGAAGGACATTGACCACCTGATCAGAAGCATGCCTAGGCGCGTTGGAGAATGCGTAGCACATCAGGGTGCATCCACACATTATTAAAGGTCAAAGGGCTTTAAAGCAGTGCAATCATTTTGAAATTTTTATCATTTACTTATTATGCTTTATTAAGTACTTATACAAAATTTTATTAAAATAAAACCATTTAAACTGGGTGTTCGGATTTATATGTCACTTAGTATAGGTGTAATACGTAAATGAGATTCTTGTTTTTAAGGAGTGTAATGTCATATCTATTGAGCGAAGTGGTATTGAATTTTTGTGGATTTGATTTGAAGACCCATACGAAGGTCACAACTGTAAATGTTAATCAAGTGCAATAATTATACGTATTTAAATGTAGCAAGGTTATTGTGCGGTGCAATCTTATATGAAATTAGCATTATGATTAAGCAAAACACCAAGAAAAAAGTATAATTGTAAATTAATGTTAGAAGTGTTCGTTGATACATTAATTTCGATTGATAGCAGACAAACGACTGACGAGCCATATCCTGAGCTGCTAAGTAGCTACCGATTGCCAATTACCGCTTCTGTTTGCACAGGATCATATTCTTAATGGCCCTTGTTTAAACATATAAGATATGTTTTGATACGGGCGTATCGCGTTACCTTCAACGATAGCCGAAAGTGATATCCAGATTCGCTTCTCCATACAGGGATTTCGGCTCCTGTTATAACTACAGCAAAGGTTAAGCTTTAAGGGAAACTTAGTGCTTTAGATAGCCGGCTTTGGATTTACGATTCCTCAATTGGTTTTGAAAATATCAGCGAAAAGCCGACAATGGTGGAATTTGTTTTTTGGCAGTAAATTCAAAACGGTTAATTTGACAGCTGTCAAATTGTGACATTCTCTTTTGTTTTCCTGCAACTCACCTCACCGTTCATTTTTCTTATGTCCCCCATATTGGATTTTCGAATTTTTGAAAAGAGTGTAAGATTTCCAATCCAGTGATGTCTCACAAGTGCATAAAATATTGGAGTATCACCGCAAGATCATCACACCTAATGCTATGTAAGTATACTAAGTGACATATAAATCCGAACACCCAGTTTAAATGGTTTTATTTTAATAAAATTTTGTGTAAGTACTTAATGAAGCATAATAAGTAAATGATAAAAATTTCAAAATGATTGCACTGCTTTAAAGCCCTTTGACCTTTAATAATGTGTGGATGCACCCTGATGTGCTACGCATTCTCCAACGCGCCTAGGCATGCTTCTGGATCAGGTGGTCAATGTCCTCCTGTGGTATCTCATTCCAGGCAACCACCAACTCCTCTCGATATTATAGGAATGCTAGCTATAACTTTTTTTTAATATTTTTAACATTAAATACACCATACATATTAGGAGATCCGGATAACTTTATTCCCGCTAATCCACTAGTAACTCCTGTGCACATTCAACCAGAATGATACTTTTTATTTGCCTACGCAATTCTTCGCTCAATCCCTAATAAATTAGGAGCTGTTATTGCCTTAGTGATATCAATTGCTATTCTGTATATTATCCCCTTTACTAATAAAAAAAAATTCTCAAGAACTCAATTTTATCCTATTAATAAACTTTTATTTTGATCAATATTCACTATTGTTATTTTATTAACTTGAATCGGAGCGCGTCCTGTAGAAGATCCTTATATTTTAACAGGCCAATTACTGACGATTTTATACTTTTTTTATTATTTAATTAATCCTATAATAAACAAAATTTGAGATAAAATAATCTTTCTTAATTAGTCTATGAACTTGTATAAGTATATACTTTGAAAGTATAAAAAAGAAATAAAATTTTCTATTGACTTTCTCAATAAACTTTTCCCACACGTGCTCAATTGGGGATAAGTCGGGAGATCTTGGTGGCCATGGTAACAATGTGACATCATTATGTTGAAAGAAGTCTATTGTGACTCTTGCAACATGTGGTCGGGCATTATCTTGTTGGAGAGTTGGATCTGCCAGGGTGTCAAGATAGGGTAAAAGATGGGGTTCTAGAACTTCGTGGATATAACGCTGCGCGTTGATGTTACCTCTGATGAAGATTAAAGGTGACCTGGAACCATAAGCTATAGCACCCCAAACCATAACTCCAACAGTGTGATGAACATGCCTTTCAACAATAAACTATGGATTCCTCCTTTCACCACGTCGCCTTCTAACCCTGGCACGACCATCGTGCATGCCTAAACAAAATCGAGACTCGTCACTAAAGACAATACTGTTCCATTCCTGATCCCAGAGTGACCGTTGTCTGCGCCACTCAAGGCGATTACGTCGGTGTTCTCGAGTTAAAGGGAGGACCCAGTGTGGCCGGTATGAAAACAAGCCAAAACTTCTCATTCGTCGGTAAACACTTCGCATGCCGCCGTGTTCTGCAAACCATTCATTTGCAATGGACCTGGTAGTGGAGAAACGGTCCCTTAAGGCCAATAATCTTAGGCGGCGATCTTCACGGTCTGTTGTTCTACGGCGGCGTCCAGTGCCCCTTGCTCTTTGCGTACGGCCTTCTCGAAGCCATGCCTGACAATACCTAACCACAGTGTCTACACTTCTTTGCACTCTAACTGCAATTGCCCGAAGAGAAAGTCCAGCTTCCCGGAGTCCCACTATACGGCCCCTATCAAACTCACTAAGTTGACGAAATCGTACAGGTCTCCGTACTCTAGGCATCGTAACCGATCGTAAAGGATGTCAAGAACCAAAATCCGCCAACGTTGATTCTTTACTGCGGCTGAAATATTCATTTTTAGAGCGTTAGTGAATTAAAAAAAAGCTGTATAAAAACCGGAATGTCCAACTGATAAGGCTGAAAATTTTTTCACTTGTTATTTACAGTAAGATAAATACATTCACCAACTTTTACTAAAATAAAACCATTTAAACTGGGTGTTCGGATTTATATGTCACTTAGTATATTAGTTATTTTTCTCAGGAGGTCATGATGTGATTGTCAGAAAATAACATTAATGAGTAAGACATAAAACAGATCGCTCTCTGGATTGCATCTATTTATTTCTGTCACACCTTTTTGATTTTTGAGTCGGATACAAAAATGAGTTTTGCGGGTTATGTTGGTACACAAATTCTTTATATTTATAATTCAGGTGTGAAATGTTATCAAATTGTTGTGAAGTATTCTTAAAGTATCGATTTTTTTAATGATCAACCAGATAAGAAGGCAAAATCTAAATACAGAAGCCATTAAGCATCTGGGGATTGTTTGACAGACAACAAAGTCGAGAGAGATTAAATTATGTGAGCATATCCGCTGCGAAAAAATGGCGTCATATAGATTGACTCTATATTTCCTCCTCCTCCTTGAATTTCGGTTCACAAGTTTCCTGTTGCCTAAAGATATCGGCACCACACAAGTCCGAGTTTCTCATTTATATCGGTTTGCCAGTTCATGTCTATTGTATAACAAAACGTCATAAGTACTGAGTCGATCTACTTGACGAAATATTCAGAGAACCATCATAGACAGAGTAACACAAATTAAAATTTAGTCAGTACAAATTGAGAGAAAACAAAAAAATTACGATTTAATCGAAAAAATCATATTTTTTTGTTGTTTGCAAAATAGGTGCAAAACATTTTTACCTCGAAATGAAAATCGACGAGTTCAA